AAATACTTTTTTGACAACAATACATATTTTAAGAGAGTTTTAAGACAAGAATGTATTCACCTATTCTTGTCATGCCTTCAAAAACTTATTTTATTTATGATACATTTATGACACATTTAAGCATCTGTAGATGAAGTCACCCTGCCTTTGAATGCTGCCCAATTCTCTTAGCACCGGTCCTACATATTTCCTCCTGCTGGAGGTGGAACCACTGCGTGATGACTTTATGTCAATCCTTTTTGGCTGGGTCCAGCTGGTTCCTGTGAGAAGGAACCCAATGACAAGGTGCTTACTGACAAACCTCAACCACAGGTGTGGCTGCAGGGTGATATCCCAGTTCCACTGAACCAAACAATGCCACATGCATCAATTTGCTAGTCATCAAAACAGCTTTTTTAACCTGTCTTTGTCTGACCTATCACCCAAAGCCTGTTTGCCTTGGGAGATGCAACAACATAAGCCACATTTACACTACCCTCTGAAAACTGATCCGTGCCAAGCTTGAATCAGTTAACCGCACCGAGCTTGTTTCCTGACAACCATTCGCACACCACGCGAGCACGGTTCCTCGCCTCCTAGTGATTATCTATCATACTACTGCTCTTTAGAGGTAAATAAGCAAATCAAATAAGCATAACATTCAGAAAATTAGCTTAGAGTCAAGCAAAGAAGTAGCCTCGTGAGACCATCCTGATCTTGCCAGCTTTCAAGGTTTCACTCGCAAATCAGTCTGGACACTCTCCGTTAAAGAAAATTTGGAGCCGTTCACCAAACGAACGTCCAATCAGCGTTGGCTTTGAGGCGGGTTGAGGTGTGACGCAACNGTGTTTTCGTCGTCACTCTGTTAGTAAATCATATGCTTCGTTGATCTGATTGGTTTATTTGGCCCGTCTATCACCAACATAGGCCAATCAGATAACCAGTATTTTCGCCCCTTCCCAAAATTACTTCAATGGAAGGTTGAAGGTGGAGTCAGGTTAGCAAAGAAGGTGGCCTTTGGTGAATTTACGTGACATAGTCGGCTTTTGGGAAGTGGATACAACAAACGATACACTTTCATTTGTCATATGTAGTTTGTTTGTTTGTTGTTATCTGAGAACCAAGCCAGAACTGAACCGTCCCAAGCCTTATTGAAGAACTAGTACAATGTAAGCGTGGTTCGGTTGTGTCTGGTGTGGTCCAGTTCAGTTGTGCCCGCCATTTACACTCAACAATTATCATGGTTACCGTTCTCTGATCGATCTCGGCCCGGTTTCAAAAGGGTACTGTAAATGGGGCTAAAGTCTATGGGATCATTCAAGTTTAAAGGAGGGGGAACCGCCACCTTAACGACTGAAATCTGATTTATACTCAGAAACCAGGTCGTAGTATGTGTGTTGCAGTGAATGCAAATGTGCCCTCTGCCGCAGACACTCTGCTGCACCTCTCCAAAATGTAGGTTACCACAGAAGGTGCAGCAGATAGGAGGCCTCTGATTGGTCAAATCTACATCCGCTCTACACTATGCATATTTCCTGTTTGATAACTTACAGGCTTGTTTTGATTGTGTGACCGCCATTGTGGAAAATGACTCATGAAGTTGGACCAGGCAGAAGAGTGAGGTGGGCGAGAACTCTGGAACCCTTTTTCCACCTGGATCCGTGCTCTTTTTCACCCTCATGTCCCTCCGTTGTCACACAACTTGCCCCCACTGCCTCGGCCGTATCTAGACCCACAGCTAGTTCGCATTGACCCTCTTGCGTTGTTTTGTGGAATAACATAGCGCAGACCACGCTTCAAAATTGGGCATAAATCAAAAATATCTGCGACAAGCTCACTGCGACACACTGCTGCGGGAGTATAACCAGCCTTTAAGAGGCGAATGGAGTGGGAGATCGATAGATGTATTTGTGCAGCTGCTGCTATAGTGTGGACCCTACAATATTCTTTTGCAGTGTAGAGAGCTGAGCAAAAAATCAAAGCTTTACTAGTTTGTCTACGTTCTTACCCTAATCCAAAGAACAAGACTCCAGATGCAAGTGGCGGAAAGGAGCTTCCACCGCACAGCTGACTTGGCGAGATTTACCTGAGATAGGGTGAGGAGCCTGGTCAATCTGGAGAGGCTCGGACTAGATTAGATCTACATCTTTATTCCAGGACGCCCCCTAGACACCTCCCTTAAAAGGTGTTTCAGCCATGTCGCACTAGGAGGGATGACTAAGGACATGACAGAGGGACTTTCAGCTGTCTCTCAGCTGTTCATGGAGCACCCTGTTGGGTTTCCCCTGCAGAGCTGCAGCAGGTGACTGAGGAAAGGGAAGTCTGGAAGTCTCTGCTAAAGACTGTTGCCTCCATCACCCAGTACCGGGTAAAGCAGAAGATGACAAGTATGATGATGTGTGTATCATATACCCCTTTCCCACTAGCCGAAACATGTGCTTAATAACGGGAATAATTGGCTTTTAGTGGCAGTGGGTACAGCACACTGATGTATGCCTACCCAGATCAAACGACTCGGCAAGCGACGTACATTAAAATCACCTCAGGGCTGATCGGCATGCTGTGGGAACACCAGACCGAGGTTGATCCGCTAAATTACGTGAAGCCATTGAACGCAACATCTTTAATAGTGGGAAGGAGGCTATAGATCATAGTGTACGCTTAATTATGTACACTGATTCAGTTGCTTGTTGACAGAATCAGCCACATGCAACTCAATATACTAAGCATAATGGAGAAGATTAATTGTAAAAGCTCAGGTGACGATGAGAGATATGCATATAAGCACATATACATAAAACACTACAGGGTCCAATTAAGACAGTCCTGAATGTAGTAGGGGTCCAATCATTAGTAACAAGGCTTTATCTAAAAAGTGCTTGGTCTGAGTATGCTTTGTGTATTGTGTTGAAGGGTTTGACATTTACACTGTGCTATTGCATCTGGAGGGTGCCAGTTACTATGTGCCATGACTGCAGGATCTTTTTATCTTAATTGGCAAATGGTTGACTGACTGTTTTGGGATATACAGTAAATGCTCTAACACAGTCTATGAGTGCCCCTGAGTGGCCAAATAATCTCTGGTAAAATAGCAGGTGGACTTAAATTCAATCGTTCTTTTCTAGTCATAGCGGCCGCTTAACATTTTGCACTAACACTTTCAACCAGTTACACCGTCAAGCATGCAAATCCAATCAAACACCAGCACGCACATTAACGGGTACCTCAGACCTTCAAGTGCCTTAGTTAAATCCACCTGTGGCAGAAGGAACTTGGAATTGAAAAGGCAGCTCTCAGATACTACTACTCTAGAGAGCAAGATGGCTCTTATAAAGCTCACATCTTTTGTTATGGACATACTTTTAGAATTCCTCTGATTATGTTTTATTATATTTGACATCATTTCAAGTGCACCGTCCAAAGTAAATAATTTTGGAAGTCTCGAGAAATTTAAACTCTAAGTTTAAAGTGTTGCAACATGGAGCCTGTTTAGGCTTCAATCAAACCAGTTAGCAAACACCTTTCCTTTGCATGCTTATACACTTTCTTAATGAAACACACACTGTTTAATGTTTTATCATGACCCTGATGAAGGCAACAAGCTGAAATACATCGGTCAGCAAACACTGTTGTTTTTCAGTGCCTTAATTGCTTCTGGAGTCACTTGAGAAGATGGCTACTCTACCTATTAACACACAATCACCCATTAGATAAAATAAACGGAAGCTTTTTGCATGGTGTGCCACTTTAAGCATGAAGCATGCCGACATGAGTGAATCTCATGTGTCTGCAAATAGCAGATTTCTTTATGATGCGGCCATTGCTGCAACATTTTTTCTTAAGTACATTCATTATATAACAGTGGTAACCATTTATGTCAGACATCTGTATGTTGAGTGTTTGAACTGTGACATTCACAGATTGCTTTACATTTCCAAACTCTTTCTGGAAGTTTGATTTGCTAAATCTTACATCATGTATACTGCAGTATCACATGTCCTCAAAGGTCATACTAAAATGTTATTTACTTAAAGTGTGTATCTTCATATGCCACAAAGAGCAATGCAGATATACTAGAATGTGAACGTAAACTTTGTAAAAACATCCTGTTTTCTATATTTAGGACTTGTTTAAGTAAAATCTATGATCCTTTCAACAATCCCTTCAGAAAGTTTGAGTTTCTGCTTGCGAATTCAGCGGTTTCTGGGCTACGTTTGAAGATTCAGAGCTGTTATAATTAACTCCTTTTTTAAAGTGTGAAAATATCTCATATATGTCACAAACATTGTATGGTATAACCTATGTTAGAGAGATGTTTAAACTTACACAACACACAGGGTTCTGTTTCTGTTACTTACAGTCGTGACTTTGGTAACCTGACAATAATTTGTAAATGACTGTGATTTTCTAGTTTACCTCTAAACTTAAAGAGAGCATGAAGAATTCATATCTAACTCCAGACTTTGAGGTAAATATATCCCAGCTTTACACTCTTTGAAGACTGTTGACCTCATATTATTTATTTTGTGTTCCCGGGATCAAAACCAAACAGATAGTTTGGAGGCTTTCAGACTGTGGGACAAACACTTTGAGTGCAGCTGCAGCTGTCAGCTCATTAAATTCAGCACTCCAAACATCCCTATTTATTTTCCTATAAAATTGCTGCTCTATAGAAGTTCATATTAATGACAATTCAAACAGTATCAAAGTGATAATCTAACAGGATTTATCACTCATTGTTATTTAAAGCTTGATTTTGTTTTGTTCTTTATTCAGTAATGATGGGATTTATTTTACCTTGTACAGCTGGACATCAGAAAATTATTAATGATTGGTTTCAGATTAAAAAAAAAGTTTTCTACCATCCTGTATTTTCTTCCTTTTTTTACTTTAAGATTATTACATTTCAGAGAGATTATTAATATTAGTTAACAGATGTGCTTTTTTTTTTTTTGTCGAATGTCACAACGACCATAGATGTTTTCCAATTTTTGAAAATGTTTTGCCTTTTTCTTTTGCAGTGAGACGATCATCTCATTCTCTGGCCACTGATATGTTCGAGCAGCACCTTGGGGCTCATCTCCTGCAGGTAAAAACCAAAGCCTCTAAATCATTTAGTTTTTATGTTATTATAATGTCATGGCACATGAAATATATAAAACAAAAATCCTTGATGTGTCCATATATTTCAAAATATTTCATTAACATTCCCTAAGATGCCCTGTTTAATTTACTTACTTAATACATGTTTAATTAATATTTTTTTTATTTAAAAGGCAAAATATCTCTTGTTTTTTAAGTGAAAGAAAAATGGCAAATGCATGGTTACAAATACTAATCTAAAATGGTTTCCATGCATTTGGCATTCATTACTTTGATATCCCCCTACATAAAATCCAATTGAATTGATTCCTTAATAAAAAGTGTGGAGCTGTGTGTGATTTTATGTTAGTATAAATCGAGAGGCCCTTTAATGAAGCAACAACTAGCCCCATGAAGATAGAGGAACACACCACATGGGTTCTGCAGCGTTTTAACGCTGGGTTAGGTTGTAAAACAACATCTCAGTCTTTGAACATCAGACAACACTTCAATTAATCATCTGAAAATACAGCACTGATCCAAACCTAGTAATAGATAGCAAAAGGCTTTCATTATAGAAGCAGCGGGTCTTATTATTCAATCTATCTGAGCTTGAACTGTTTTAGTAACTCTGAAGATGTCTAACGGATTTACCATTGCGATGGGCCAGCATCATGCTCTGGGAAAGCGTTTCATCTGAAAGCACAGGAAAATGGTGAGATTGCGAGATAAATGGAACTAAAAACAAGACCAGGGGTATAAAAGATGCAAGAAACACTTGTAATTTTCACGCCTACTAACAAAAATCTTCCCCTTTAAAATTATTAATTACTTTGTGTTGGTTTATCAGGTAAATTCCCACTAAAGTCCATGCAGATTTATGGCTTTAATGTGACAAAATGTGGAAAAAACCCACAAGGCACGGTTTAGATGGCAGATTTCAATGCGTTCCTCAATTTTATATTTCCAGGCAGCCTCCCAAGTGAATTTGTATACACAGACGCAAACATCTGATAAAGCTCAGGCGCTCGGACACTGTTGTTGTCTGCCTCTCCTTTGGATCGACTGATGAATGGAGCCTGAGGGGCATTCTGGGGCAGGGGGAGTTGCAGGAGTGATGAAATGCAGAATGTACAAAGACTCGGAGGAAGTGCAAAGAAGATCGTCCTGCAGCTTTTGCTTTGGACCTGGAGGTGGGAATAAGTAGGAACAGATAAAGGGCTGATATTGGGAATTTAGAAGTGAGGAGGCAGTGTTAAAACAAAAAAAAGCATCACATGTGTTTCCCCTCCTCTGGCATTTTAAAGAGGTGGCTGAGGCTTAGGGAACGGCGCTGATAGGAATCAAATTAACGCTCAAGAAAAACTGTATGATTTTTTTCCCCCTATTTCCTCCTCCCAGCCGTCCTCCCTCCCGTAATAGCTTGATAATTGCACTTTAGTTCTCCGACAGTCAGACGGCTGGTTTCTCCTCGCTGCGACACATGACGCCCCACACCCCGGACAGTCATTTGCATACTGGATGTGTCAGTTGTGCATAAATTACCCGTGCCACTTTAAGCGCCTGGGCCGCCAAAACAAGCAATCTTTTTTCATTTGTTTTTTTTCAACTCCAAGTGGCCCAGGCCTGTCGTATGCATCTGTGAGGCTACATCGACTCATTCCTGGATGCCTGTTATGACCATTAATATTATTCTCTGCAGAAGTAACCTCTAATGGCTGGCTGTATACCTTTCACTTCTTATTAGAATCACAGTAGCCTGTAATGACTCTGGTTCTGTCTGTGTCTACTTTAGGATTACTAGGTGTGTGTGTTTGTGGCTGAAGATCAAGGATGAACCTTTGCCTCTGACTTTATTACAGCTGATTTAACAGCCCTGGTGTATAAACTCCGTATCTCTGTGTGAAATGTGTTTATATGTGTGGTTGTGTGTGTTTGATAAAGCAGCGGATGCTCACAGCTGCTGTGTGTAGCTGCGTAGGGTGTGTGCGTTAGTGTGTGCACTTGTGAATTGAGAGAAGAGGCCGAAGGGTGATGTGCTGTTTGTTCTTTAGCTCATTGCAATTTGTTCGATACATGCTAATTGCTCTAATTTGTCTGTCTTGTTTCTGTTTACCTTTGTGTGTGTTTGTGTGGATGGATGGGTGTGTGTGTGTGTGCAGTCTCTAGATGGCTTTGTTTTCGTGGTCAGTCAAGAAGGACGCTTCCTCTACATCTCAGAGACAGTTTCCATCTATCTGGGGCTCTCACAGGTAAGGTTACCTCGTCCTCCTCACTCTCTTAAACACATATGATTATAAAGAAACAACGTATTACCTAGTAGAACCCTATTTCTTTCAATACTTCCTGCCACAAATGTTCATTTATTGTTTATATTAAGAGCAGAGGCTCTGTCACACTGTCTTAAGCTGAGCAGTTGTTGTGAAATAGTATTACTATTTTAAAACAATATAAAGAAAAAGAAAAAAAGTGATGCATTGATCCACTGAAGATTACCCGGCAATCATTTTCTTTTTTCTAATAGTTACAAATATTTTATTGCAATTATGGTTTCAAATAACATAAATGTTTTTACATTGTCTCATGTTGTAAACTATATATGAACAGTTTAAAGGGTTTTGAGCCTGTAGTCAAATGAAAAGGTGAACTAACTGTGTTCCAAACACTAGATGGTGCAGTTTTTCCATTTAGTAATCTGCACAGACTATTTGGTCTGTAACAACTTTGCTGTATTTTTGGGCAAAAAAATGATAATCATGCTTTATTACTTACCCGTTATGCCTTTATGCCCCCCCTAGGGGGCAAACTCCACTGTTTGATAGTCGCTATCTTACAGGAACCTCAATACACAAGTGAAAATCAACCAGATTTGGTTCGTTTGGTCAAATCATCATTAGATGGCCTTGTCTGAGTCATATCAGAAAGGAAAAACAAAAACACTTGTAATGTGTCAAATCTGCTTCCAAATCAAAACATGCTGCTGTTCTGAAAAACCTGCTGTTATTTAGCTAAAACCTGTGCTGCACAGGTAAACGGAGGAAGATATAAGCTACCTAAAAATGTCGGCTTATGCCAAAACTATAACAAAGATTGTTGCAGAGAGTACTTTTTGAAAAGAGATTATCTTGTGTATTCAAATAAGTAAAAGTATAATCAGTTTGAAAAACATTCAGAGTATTTCTCTAGGATTAGATGAAATAGTGAGAGAAAACATACAGTCTAATAGACACTGCTCATTTTGAACATTGTTTTTCCAGATAACATTTCTTTGTCACCATTTTGGCTTAAATTGTATTATTTAGCTTATATATATGGCAGCCGGAGGAGATTAAAAACAAAAAAGGGCGGTTTATTATTAAATCTAAACTTGGAAATATGTTGCAAGTGGTTTTTCCCTTCACAATGTCACTTTTGCTGTAATGGCCCCTTTTAGAAAGATAATTGCTCTTCTGTAATGTAGACCCTCACCTTTACACAGAGATGTTCAAAAGGCTGCGGATATTTCTCAACCCAACATGTTTCCCACTTGAGAGATGTCGAAAGCTTGAAGGATAAAACAGACCAACATTTGTTTAATACGCTGAGCTGATAAAAGTCTTTCTCATTCGCTGTCTTGTCCATAACGAATGATCATCAAGCATGTTTTGATCATCTCCTAGAACACTAGTTTTTCTTTTCTTTTTAATATGCTTTCTGTGACAACACTTAACTTATAATGGAAGCAGCTTGCAATGTGTTTTCCTCACTTAACTACTGATAGTGAGTTTCCGCACATTAGAGTGTTGCACTTTGGGGCGATGTGTTAATACTAAGGCAGTGGACTCCCTTAAATCCCAGAAGGCTGGTGTCTTGCTAATTTTAGATGTTCTACACATTTGAATGGGCTCTATGCACAACTAGACTACTTCCTGAACTTAAGACAGCTCTTTTTCACTATCTTTTATACTGGATGAGCTGATTAATACAGGTGTGTCTGGCCATGGTTACTGAGGTGAGGTACATCTGGATTAATCAGTTGCTCCAGTAGAAAAAGACAGAAAAGAAAAATTGCTGCCTTAAAGGGGAATACCATTTTTTTTTTACATTGGCCCCTTGATTTTACGTAATTACATCATGTTCTACTCACCCATATGAGTTTTATGTCATTTGGAGCTGTTCTGAAGATATTCCATTAGGTTATATCCAAGTAACGCCTTCCTATGGGCAACGAGTTGAAGGCACAAACTAAACTGTTCATAATTTATCATTTATGGTACGCCAGCATTCATAAAATGTAGGCGAATCACTGTCCCCCAGACATCCGCTGTTATATTTTTTATATTTATATTTTTTTAAAACAAAGCAGAGTGTGTATGACGTCATCCACCCGCCGGACTGGAGTTGTGACAGGCAGCCCGGGCCACCCCTTCTATTAATTTGGCTAGCTAATCTAAATCATTCAATTCCTTTTGGAGAGCGAGATCATCTGTGGTAGTAGCACTAGACATCTTCCAGGCATGTGAGTAAAACTAGCAGCAGTTCAGCGGACAGGATGAATGAATGGTAGCCGGCGCGCGAATGACGTCCTACACACTCCGCTTTGTTTTAAAAAATATAAATATAAAAAATTTAACCACGGATGTCTGGGGGACAGTGATTCGTCTACATGTTATGAATGCTGGCGTAAAATAAATGATAAATTATGAACAGTTTAGTTTGTGCCTTCAACTCGTTGCCCATAGGAAGACGTTACTTGGATATAACAAAGCCGAGTATCTTTGGAACAGCTCCAAATGACACAAAACTAATATATAGGTGAGTAGAACATTATGTAATAACGTAAAATCAAGGGCCCAATGTAAAAAAAAACAATGTTCCCCTTTAAGTTCAGGAAGTAGTTGAGTTGTGCATATATTAGAAACTATGTAGACCTCTGTTAATGAGCTCACGTTAAAGCCACCTGTGAAAGCGGAGACTCACCTTAATGTTGCAGGATTGCAAGCCCTTAAGGACTGGAGTTTGAGACCTATGCACTAATGTGTGTCAACTAATAAGACAAAATTAATATTTTTACGCATTTCTGTTTGGCTGGTCAGAGGTCATAGTGAATAAGGCCATATTTTGGCCAATTCAGGTTACCTGCATGTTTTTGTATTACCGGTATGTATCTAAATTAATTTGGATGCATTTACCTATTTTCTAACTCCATTTCTAAATTGTGTCCCAGGAGTGTGTGTTTGTGTGAGTGTCTTTGACTAAACTCCTTCTGCTCATTCCCAGAGTGGCTCTCCTTTTTTTTACTCCCTCCCAACTGCTCCAGGTGTTCACCTCTGTTGATTGCCTGTGGCCTCTTGTACTGTGAATGTTAAGTCCTGCCATTTTGCCCAGATGCATAAATAATAACAGTAATTACTGGCCCAGCAATCAAAGTGTCGCCCCAGCGCGCTGGGCCTGTCTAGGGGAACAAATCGATAGGCATCTTAAAAGCCACATTGATTGTAGGGAGGGGGGAAAAACACCAAGGGGGATGGGAAGATAGATAGAGACAGCAAGCGAGAGAAAGAGAGGGGTAGGAAAGGAGAGGAGGTGTGATAAGAGGAAGATGAAGAGGGATGGGTACAGCACGAGGGAGAAGGAGAAAAAAGTACAATTACAGGAGTAATTGAGTGTATTTCTACGTGAAAACTTGCAGTGATTTATTGCTATTGATGGCAATAAAAAGAATAATGTTGTTCTGTAGACCCTAGCTCTGTCCTATTACAGAGTTTAACATTCACACAGCAACTGTACAACGAAAAGCTATTGATCAGTGTTAATCATTCTTTTGTCTGTCGTAGCTCTAAAGTAAAACCTTTATAACCTGCCGAAGATGCAAGTGAAACTCGGTTTGCATAAAATGCTTTAATAAGGCACACCATTTAATTTTTCTTTTTTAACATGGGGCTAACTTTGTAACACAATAATGTAATATGCTACCCTTGCTAAAACCATTTTTCACTACTTTATACATCAGAAATCAAATTCATGTTTTAGGAAATCAGTATCCTGTGCAGATAAATAAAAAGTCTGACCACTTCATTGTACTTTTACCATCAAGAAAACCTTTAATTTGGGTAATATTTTTATGAATGTATAGATTACAGATATTGTTTGAGGTTTAGCAGCTCAGTTTTAAACATAAATTAAAGTTGGGCTTTTAACTTCGAGACAGGCCTCCAGCCGAGCAAACTTTATACTAATAGAGAAATTGCACAGATGTTTAAGATACAGTATCTTCCCAAACATTTTATGCAAACAGATCTTTGTGCCTCTGGTATTGTACAGATTAATATACCTTTGATACTGCAATGTAATATACTGAGTAGCTCTAATTAACACAGGTTTTAACCGGTGTTATTGTCTTATGCTAGAGCTTAAAACTATAAATGTTCAAAATCATCGCAACACTGGGATGCAGGAAACGCCAAATTACACTGCAAAACGATCTAGAAATAAGCAAACATGTCTTTAATTAAGTAATGGAGTGAATAATTTTACTCTTAAAATAAGATAATGAGATCAAATGCACTTGAAATAAGACAATGCAATTGTTTTCTCATTCAAATGTAAATTGTCTCATTCCATTGGCAAAATGTCTCACTTACCTCCTCAATTTAAGAAAAAAATGGTCTTATTTTTAGAAAAAAAAAAGAACTTATTTAGATTTCAATTTTTTGCAGTGTAGCCCTTCAGTTTAGTGAAGAATATGAATCTTGACTTAGATGCTGACTTCAAACTGTTGTGTATGCTTCACTGGACAAATTTGACGTACAATTAAACAGCAATCTTCAGGCATCACTAACTTAAACTTTGTACTTTTTTTATCCTCTGTATGCCATGCTTCACAGAATGCTGCCCTTTGCATTGAGCGCTAAGACTAATATGAATGTTTACATATCAAAGAAGTCGTTCTCCTTTTGTCTTCAGGTTAATATACACATTTTACCTCTAAATAAAACATTATTCTCCTTCAGCCATAATCTGTCTCCTACCAGACCAGTGTGATGGCTAAACTTGTTTGATGTTTTTACTTTCATATGACTAAACAGATTAATGTGGCAGGGAAATGTACCAAGTATTACAACCCAGGTCTCCTGTATTACACTCAAAGACTTAAACCACTTGACAATCAGGGACTTGATATGGGCCTTAATATATTTCCAATTACTTCTAACATTTTGTTAACTTATTTAAAGTTTCATAAGCCATAACACCATCAAGCTATCATTATTAT